TTTATCCAGAAGATAACGGGAGTGATGGAAAGACTATGCATCATAAGACATGCATCATGAGATTTGTGTTTTCTTTAATTTATTCTAAAATTGAAGGGCCGGGGATTTAGCTCGGCAGTTCGGTGGCCTGCCTTGCAAACGCAAGGACCCGAGTTCAATCCCTGGAACCAAAATAAAGAAAGAAAGAAAGAGAATTGTTATTTTCTTTATTAGTATATTAGTATTTGCCATATACAACGATAACATTCCGCATGTGAGCTGGTATATGCACATAACACAACTTAATTCTTTTTATGCCCCCGTCCCTTCCCCCTCCCTCCTCTGCTTGGTGAGGCAATGAGGAGAGTGGAAGATGAGGGACAAGATTGAGTCAGAGGTGAGGAGTGGACAAAAGGCAGGGGGAGCTTGAATTAGAGATACAGTGGTGAAAATGGAGAGCAGGGGTGGCCTAAGACAGAGAAAGGACGTGGGAGCATTTGGATATAGTAGGAAGTGAAAGTGAAATAAACATCAATGATAGCAGCTCCATTCAGTGAAGTGGTAAACATGAGAGAAATACATTTGAATGAGTAAAAATTATTTTAGTTGGAGAAAAGGTGAAGATGAATTTATCTCTAATACATTAATGAAGAATTGGGCACAGAGACCAAGAAAAAGGGAGGGAGGGACAGATTTGGAATTCATCAACCTGTACAAGATAACTGACAAATCCAAAGGTTTTTAAAAAAAATTTTGATTCTTCTAGCTCTCACTTTGTGTCAGACACAGTCGATCATCTTAATACTTATTCTATGTTTGCTTTCTTAACCATTCTCCTTCCCATTTGGCATATTGTAACCTCAATAAAGATTAAGCTTCTTTCCACAATTTGAAGAAATTCATGTTGAGTTACAAAAAGAAAGGGAGGGAAAAGGAGATGAAGAAAGAGAACAGAGAAAAGTCCAGCTTGTGTCTGTAATGCATCCCATCAGTCACTTCGTTTAGAGGAATTTGTTATGAATCCCACCCCCGACCCCTGCATGAAGATTAGGTGCTGCAGAAACAATGGTGACTTCCGATGCCAACAAGATGGTTGGGTAGATAGACCTGAAGTGAACACCGAATCAAATGAACCTATAACCATATCCAGTAGTACACGCTCAGAAGTGAACAACAGCTATAAAATCTTGCTATTCAAAGAGTAGTCCAGGAACTGGCTGCTTCAAAGCCACTTGGGAGCTTGTTAGAAAAGCAAAACCTCAGTATCCACCCAGGAAATACTGAGATCAGATCTGCATTTTAACAAGATCCCCGGGGGATTTGCATGCACATTAAAATTTGAGAAGCACTAGTCTGGAGTCTACAGGGCTGTGGGAGAAAACAACAGGTGGACCTAAATTCACCTTGTGGGTCAGGGAAAGGGTCCCTGAAGAACTGGCTTCTGAGTGGGCCAGAGAAGAAGTCAAAGGTCAGGTGGTACCCATCCTGGAGGAGAAGGTCATCATGTTCCTAAGAGCAGCTCTAACAGATTTAAAGACTGTTTGAGTCTGCCCAGGCTGCCATTTAAAAATGCCATACACTAGATGACTTGCACTGCCCAAATTTGTTTTCTCTCGGGAAATGAGATATACTGAGATCGGGGATCAGCGTGGTCACATTCAAGGGAGGACTCTTCCTGGCCAGCAGAGGGCTACCTTCTTGCTGTGTCCTTATAGGGTGGGGAGAGAAAGAGACCTTTCTCTGGGGTCTCTTCTGAGAGCACTAATCCTATCATGAAGGCCTCATGCTCATGACCTCACCTAGTCTTTACTTTCAAAAGCCCTGCCTCCAAATGCCATCACCTCAGGGTTAGGACTTCAACATCTGAATTTAGGAGACACAATTCATTCTACTGTAAAGGTTTTATGGAAAGGAGTGTGGAAAAAAATAAGATTTCTGTTTTTGAAATTGTACTCTGGCTGAAATGTGCCAAGGGGCTTGGAGGGGATCTAAAATATACTGTAGGAGACCAGCTAAGAAACTAGCTCAATGGAAACAGTTAAAGACACCCACAGCTTGGACAAAGCTGTATGGGTAGAGAGGGAGCGAAGTGAAATATTTCAGAATATTCAGGGATTAAAATTGAATAGTCCTTGATAATGGCTTTCAAATGGTGGTTGGGGAAGAGGGTCAAGAAATTCTGTCCGGTTTTCAGCTTTTTCACTTGAATAAAGATGTTATGAATTTTTTTCATTAAATTTCATTACATTTTTTCATTATTGGTACTTTTTACACTTGATCTTAGCCAAAAGGCCAAGAAGCAATTGTTGGTACTTTTCAGGTCTACAGTGCAGTTACATTCATCATTCAGATCTTGTACCTTTACACAATGTATCTCGGTTCTTATTTTTTCCCCCATTATCCTGCTCTCCTTCCCCCACCTCCACCCTTCCCTATTTACAAAGATTTTGTTTCCATTTTTTCCTTTTCTCATACATTTTCTTTTTCCTTCTTTCCTTTTCCCTCCCCTTCCCAATTCCCCTAGTCCTTTAAGGATGACATAAATTCTTGAGATAAGAATCATGAAATTATCAAGTTTGTGCATGGTATCTATAGAATAGTTAGCATTTGGTAAGCATTTATCATGTGCCACTCACCGTATAGATGTTTTGCACACATTATCTTAATTACTATATGACACAAACTTTGCCTTCTGGGATGCAAAGGTCACCTCAGACAAGCTAGCTATATAAGACTATGTCGATAATGACTTGTTCTTCAATTTTAATTTTTTATTAGTGCACGTTTACGATGCACAATGATCACATTACTCTTGGGGAGTCGGTACATATACATGACACATCTGATTTCTTTTCATCCCTTTCCTTTCTCCTTCCACCCTCTCCCTGTATTTCTATGTTCCCTTACCATTAGCAAAAGATTTATTTCCATAGTTAGTATTTATCTTTTATTTTGCTTTTTATTTATATTTTGGATTTCTCATATAAGAGATGTTATGTGATATTTAAGGATGTCTGTTGATTTATTTTACTTAACATTATGTTAAGGGTTTAAAATGTTCTGGCATAATGAATAGTTCAGAATCCTTTGAAGAACTCCAGAGAAGCTATGAAGAAGGGAAAAAAGGGATGTGAACTGAGCATGCCAGGTTGAGGAAGGCAGAAGTAATCACAGCAGTGGAGAGAAGAATGACTTTATTGACAAGTTCTTTTAGGAAAACTGCAAAGAAAAAGTTGGCCAGGAAGGGAGGGGCCAAATTGTGAAAGCTGTTGAAAGTCTGTAATTTGGATTTTATAGAGGGAAGGGTTTGAGTATGAAAGGAACATGACTCCACAGGACTCAGGAAAACCTGTCTGGCAACAGAGAATCTTGAAGTTAGGAGGCTTGAGTCCCAGAAGCCATTAATTAGTGTTTGTACCATGAGGGTAATGGGTCAGAGTTCTGGGTTAGCCTGGAGAAAAAAAATCAATGAAACTTCATTTCTTGGGGTGAGAATGAAGATTAAAGGGGACTGAACTTTTAGGAACAAAATTTTAAATACAGTATCAGAGGAAGATGAGGAAGATGAGAATCATAAACCTTGGATCACCAATGTGCAGGAGGTATAGTATTATGTATATTAATGCATTAAGATAACTTTCTATGTGTTTCATCACAAAGCTAATTTAAATTTCCAGAAAATTATACCAGATAAAAGACTGAAGTTATGATAGTCAAAAGATTTACATAGGAAAAAGAGTATTGTTCAGTATAAAAATCAAGGGGAATAAAATATGGTATTCACTTGAAGAAATTGTCCCCAAATCATATGAAACATTGTGTTTTGTAAGACTCAATCGGTAAAACGAAAAGAAACCATTACATTCCACTCTGTTACTTCATTCCAGATGTACTAAACAGTTGCTTATTTTTCCAGAAAAATGGTGTTGGGTTCAACCTTTCAGATGAATAAGGGTTTTGTTTCTGACTCGGTCTAGTCATGGAACCATCATACTTAATTTTTAAAATTCGAAATGTTGTGTTTAGTGGGAGGAAAATGTGTGCTTATTGTGTTTTCTAAATGCCATATGTTTCTGTTTGCAAAGCATGCAGAAATGTTGTTGATTGGGGGAAAAATAAGTAACCTTACCAACCTTCTAGTTTCTCTTCTGCTTTATCTCAGAAAACCCGGGCACCTTGTAAAACATCCTGTGTAGAGGGGCACCTGATGGTGCCCTTGAATCACGTGCCATGTGTGTTCAGCAGTAAATACCTTCCTGTAATCATCGCTCCATTAACGACAGTGTGGGCCAACGCAAGGTATTTATCAAATGGCATCTAAGACGGTTAAGGTGCACCTAATCTTTCTGTGGGAGTCTGCCAAGACCTCCGAAGGGTAATGTATACATATCAATTTGATTGTGCAGCATTCCCTAACTGACGTCCCCAGTGGTCTGAAAACTTAGATGAAAGATATATGGGCTACAGTAATTAACCACTGCAATAACAAATGTTTTACAGGAAAACTGTGTGTGCCTGGGCTACAAACAGGTCTTGACTGTGAATATGTACTTGGCTGATATATTCTCTCCCAAGAGTGGAAATCTTACGTAAATGTTTTGTAAGGTATCACTTTCCATGGCAGGCATGTATTTTTTTTTTTAATATACACATACGCCTTCTTAAATGGAGTAACGACTTCAGTTTCAGGTACAGCCTGCATTTATTTCTTTGGAATCTGCAGAGTTCTGTTTTCTGAAGTATTTACGACGCAGCTCCCAGCTTCGGGCTGGCTGTCTTCGAGCGTGTTTCCTGAGCTACCCCTCTCTGTGCTCTGCCAATTATGTGCCACTTTGTCTTGGTGCTATGATTGCTTTCTTCTGAGAGGGAAATTCCCCTTTCATCAGTATGGATGCGCTGTTTTCAGACACTGCAAGCACTGTGTTGCCGTGTCAGTCATCCTATGAGGGCCCGCTTCAGAGGAGGATGGCTGACGAACTGGCTGCCGATTGGCTGGCCTCGGCGGGGCGGGGCCTGTCGGAAGGAAGGGCTGCAGCTTTACAGCAACAGAGTTTAGACTGTATGCTTCATCATCTGAAGGTAAAATTTTCCAGATACGGCAGACGGCGTTCAGAGTACAATAAACAGGGAAGGAGAACTATTGGCATGGAAATTTCTTCCTCATGATGCAGTGGAGAAGCCTGGGCCACTCGATTCTGCCAGATATCCCTGGGGTTACTGTACAGGGGGAGGACAAGCAGAGCTAAACAAGGTAGGCGACCCCCACTCTCCTTTTTTGAATGTTTAAAGAGTTTGCTGCAGTGTGCTGCATTCCATGTGTGTTGCTTAGGGAAGCCAGGGAAACCGGATTCCACTAATTCAAATGTAATACTTGCCGGGAATCCTGGAGTTTTACGTAACGTTTTGATTTGAGAAAAAGAAATGGCAAAAGCTTGAATCTTCGCCGCCTATTTGGGGTGAGGCATACAGCTGAGTTTTTATTCAAAGAATAGATCCATTTTTTTTTATCAGTTGAAATCTTGACGGCATTCTTATTTTCTTGTCATAGGAAATTTTCAAGCTGCCATAGTTAGTTCTGGAATAGGTAAAGTTTACAACGATCCTGTTATTTGAAAACAAACTTCCAATTAACAGTTTTTAAAACTTAATGGTAAATAATCATCAATTGACTGCTTGGGCCCAAAATACATCTGTGTGTTGGAAATTAGGGACCTCCCTCCTTCTACAATGCTATGCTTTAATTGAGTTTCAAAGACACGTTTTTAACAACCTAGCAAGAGGTAGCTTTCTGGCAAGTTTTTGATACTGTAGTTCAATGTTTACATTTCTTTTCCTGGCATGTCCGAGCCTTTGTTTCCAGCTTTAAAGTAGAACCATTATATTCCAAAGTAAAGCTGGGTTAATAATGCTCACTGCAATTATCTGATCTGTATGCATTTTTAATGAGAACACACAGCCAGCAGAATAATTTAATGAGAGCAAGCTAGCTTTTAAAGCTGTGTTTTCACCACGCCGAACCATATCAACTTTCTTGAAGACAAGCAGCAGTGAGAAATGATGAAGAAGATTTATTTTTAACACACTTGGCCCAGGAGAAGGAAAGGATATATTTGTTAAAGAATTCTTTCTGCCCTTTTCCGTTTTAAATTTCTGCCAGGCATGAGGAAACTGTGCTTTTTTGTTAGGCCTCGGAAGCATGTGTTTACAATAAATGTGTAACATTTTTAGAATAGTTAGCAAGCACTGAAGCGAAGGAAGAAAAAAAAAATCCTGACTCGCCTAACCACAACTGTGAATGTTCTTCAAGGCACATTATTGTCCCTTTACAAGGCAAAGGTTAAGTGGAAAGATATTTGTTAATTGTACATTTCAGGGACAAGAAGGTAGAAAGAAAAAGGCAGGGGGACATCTTTATAATCTTTACGTAAGAGGAAGTTTCTTCAGCTCTCCTGCTCGTTTTTGGAGGGCAGCAGTGCTCATTTAAATAACGGCAGTGCCACGTAGATTCTTCTAGACCCACTGTTTTTACTTTCAAGGAGAAGTGCAGGACACTAGCCCAGAACTTCTGACGTCATCCCCCAACTATTTCTGCTGTGTGTTCTTTTATTCGGGCTCCTGGAGAGGAATATTTCTCTAAGTCCCGGGCAGGAACATTCTAACTCCCAGTGAGCACGACTTGAGTTATGTCTTCAAATTTTAGCTTGTTCTTTGTAAACCCTAAAGAAATCCCCTTCGTAAACAGAGCATCATCTACTATTTGCCAGTCAGCCAAGGTTTTCTGCAGGGTTCTAGCTTGGCTGGTAAAAAGTAGTAGGAAGCTGAACTTGGCTTTTTTTCTGGCCTAACTTCCCCCTTGGTACACCCCAGGACTGCCACCTGTGTGGACTGTCCCCAGGGCCCTATTCCCAGTCTCCCAAGAGCTGTTGTCTAGGATGCAGGTTATGCCACCAAGTTCAAGGCTGCTTGTGATGGTGGGAACAGCTGCTTTTATAGATAATGCACCATGTTCTACGGCAGATGGCCCAGAGGAAGGAAAGTACAATACTCCCCGCTGTTAATCCTGTGTCACAGGTGGCACTCTTGGTCCTGTGGATAGGGGGACGATTCATGCTTACTAAGGATCCTTTCAAGACAGAATTTTGGTCAGAACACATCGGAGTTCCCGGGAATTCCCAATGCTAGTCCGCGTCCTCCTTCTCACCACTCACTGAGCCTTGAGCCAGTGCCTACCTAATTTTCCCAGCTCTTAACAGAAATGAATAATACTTTCTCTTATGATGCCAGCACTTTTGGAGACCTTGACCTTGTACCAAAAAAAGAAAAGAAAAGAAAGTTGTCTCTTGGCACAGTGAGCTATTTAAAGTACAAAGGGAAGAAACCTCAGAATTAAGAAATTGTTGGTAATGCCTTGGGGTGTTAGGATACCTAATCATA